AACAAGAGCGAAACTCCGTCTCAAAAAAAAAAAAAAAAAAAAAAAAAAAAGATAGTTTGCTGTGCCTAAACTGCTTGTGCAAACAATGTAGTTAATGCTGAACCCCCGCTTCCTTCTGGGAGTCTGGAATTCTGGTCCATGCTAAGCAAAGTGAGTGACCAGATCCAGTAAGAACCTTGAGCCCTGAGTCTCTAATAGGCTTCCCTGAACAGAAACATTGCACAGAGGGGACGGTGAGCTCCACGTGAGCCCTCACAGGAGGGAGAAAGCATGAAGAAGCCTGGACAGGGTCTCCCAGACACCGCCAGTTTTTGTTCCTTATGATCCAGCTGCGTCTCTTAACTATGTCAGGGCAGTGCACCTACATGCTGAGTTCCGTGAGTCCTCCTAGTGTGCGTGGTCTTGAGGACCCCGACACACCATACTAAAATCATGATTGAGGAGTCCTTATCCTCAGGACACCCACCGGGAATATTGTAAATGACGCTACCAGGATGTTCCTGAAGGGGCGCTTCATGGAGTGCTGCTCCCAGGAGCTTACTCCTGGCACAGGGAAGAAAACGTCCCATTTGCACATGTGTTGGAGAAGTAATGAGCTACAAAAAGTTAAATGGGGGCTTTATCTTAATATGCTAATATGTAGTGGATCTGTAAGTACAGTCTTCACCCTAAGCAGTTTGCACTTACTCCCTGCCTCTCTCAGGATTCCCAGCAATGGCTCCAGAATTTGTGCTATAGAATACTAGTTTGGGAAATACCCCTCAACAGAAATGTTTAAAGAAGAAATTTTGTCTAGAAGCTGTTCAAAACAATTGCTTCGTTAGTTAGCCCTAGCTTATGAGAAGCACGTCCGGAAGGTTTTCTATTCTTCATTAAAAAATGGAAAAATTCAAAATGTGTTCTCTGTCAATTTCTCTACTACTGATCTGAAATGATTCACTCCTCACAGCTAAGTGACTGCTTAGATACATTTCTCTTCATTGGCAAATTACTGTCAGTAGATTCCATGTTTGAATCACATCTATCACAGAGCATTGCAAGTAGAGAAACAAATCTAATTTAAACTTCAAAAAAGTGACCTTTATAGGAAAATGAATCACCAAAAAACTTTAAACAAAAAAATCAAGCTTCTAATAACCTTTGTCATCTGGAGAAACTCTTCACAGGTAAGCGGCCCCTCCTGGGGAAGCTGACAAAGAGGCGTGCTGCCCATTTCTTCTAGAATAGCATCAATGCGGAACTCAATCAAATCATTGACCCTGTCAAGGAGCAACTCCAGGTCCTCTGCAGGGAAAAACAAAAAGTAATTTTGTTTTTTTTAAAATCCACACTTGATTAAAATCAGCTTTAAAGATTCTCAGTTACATACGTCCCCTGGACTCCCACTGTTTCACACTTGGTCATCCCTAATAAAATATCCAAACTACTAACACTCTGATGCTGATATCCTGTAAGCAGAAAATCTATCTTGGTAGCCTGTTCTAATTTGATTATGATAATTTTTATTATGAGGTTTTTACACATATTATAAATACCCCTGAGGGAATTTTAGTCAATTTCCTTTTGTTTTATTTCCTGGGGCCATTGTTCCTTCTCTGTAACCGGTTTCCCAGTTCCTGCCCACCTAACTCTCACTCATACTTGAAGACACCGCTCACGCATATCTCACCACAGAGGCCCCGGGGTGAATCTGTGGGCGTTCAAGCAGTCCCTCCTCCTGTAAAACCACAGATGGGGCATCCTTCCATCTCCATGGATACCATATTGTCTACCCCGTGTCTTATCTTCTTTAGAATTCATATGTTTTAACCTTACATCAACATTTAACCCAGTGCCTATTCCACAAGAAGTATTCAACGACTTTTACTGAAGTAAAAGTTCTCTGATTTTTCTTTCACTGTAAATATCACAGATTACATTATTTTTAGTTGTGCTGAAGTAATATTGAATGTTAAGTTCAATGGATGCAAAGACCAACTCTGAAGCAAACTAACAACAACGGCACATCAAAAGTGGGAATGATTCCTAATGGATAGCCATCTAAGGGTAATACATTTTTCAACAGATGCCATACAGTAAAATTTCTCTTTTTCTAATATACCTTTCTCCTAGGAAATAAAGCTGAAATTGAATACAGAAAAGTCAATGTTACATACCAATGACGTATCAGAGGTGTAAACATTTCCTTAAATAAATACCTTTATTTCCTAAAGAGAGAAATACCTAATGTAGATGACAGGGTGACAGATGCAGCAAACCACCACCATGGCACATGTACACCTATGTAACAAACCTGCACGATCTGCACAGGTACCCCAGAACTTAAAGTATAATAAATAAATTTTTTAAAAAAAGAATAAAAGCGTAAACGTTTTCTATTATTTCCAAGATAATTATTAAAGATGCTACTCAAGATACCAAATAGTTCTTCCTGGTAAATTGATTCAATACTGAAAGAGAGCCAACACTTTCATTTAAGTATGTGTGAGCAATAAAATTCTCTAACTGACTGCTTCTTCATCTTTAAGGACATCTGTGTTAAGCTGAAAAAAGTAGCCTCCAAGGAGGTCCACATCCTAATCTCCTGTGAATGTTATCTTATATGGCAAAAGGGATTGTGATGTGATCAAGTTAAGGATGATGCAATGTGGAGAGTGTCCCAGATTATCCATACTCTCATGATGCAAATGACCACCTATAAGTAGAAGGATTGTCTCACTAATCCAATAAAAATCCAACTGCTCTTGAGATTTTACATAGTTTTCTCTCAAAGAAACTTAATCTTTCTTCTATTTTAGTTCCTTAAATTACAAAAAGAAAAACATAATAGAAAACAAAAACAGTAAGTTTCTCTAGAAACTAGTTCCTTGTTTCCAGCTAACATTCTAATAAACATCCAAATTGTTAATACTCTAATACTAACATCTAAAGGAAGGATATTACTAAAGTCTATCTTGGTAGCCTGCTCTAATTTGATTATGATAACTCTTTTTTTATTTGCATTTTAGGTTTTGGGGTACATGTGAAGAACATGCAAGATTGTTGCATAGGTACACACAGGGCAGTGTGATTTGCTGCCTTCCTCCCCATCACCTATATCTGGCATTTCTCCCCATGCTATATCTCTCCCCAGCTCCCCATCCCCCTGATAACTCTTATTATGAAGTCTTTATACATTTCATAAGTGCCTCCTTAGGAAATTTTAGCCAGTTTCCTCTTGTTTTATTTTCTGGGGAGGCATATTTTAGAAGAAATATTAATTGAGAGCAAGGAAATTGTGTTCTAAACTCATTGTTATTTCTTATATCTATGTAACATTAAAAGCCATTTAGCATCTCTGACTTGATATTCATTCATATTCAAAAACTCCAATATCCTCTGTTTTTGAGTCCAGCTCCCAAACTACAAAGCATAACAAAGGTGGGGTATGTGCTCAACCAGAATTTCCCACTCTACTCCCTTCCAACCCAGTACTTTTCAAGTATTCCTATATATAAAGCACCTGGATATTTAAATAGCTGGACCTTCTGAACCCTAAGTTTTTTGAAAAGTACAGTGAAAACCTCCTGGTAAGAAAAGCTCTTGACAATTTAGATTATAAATAGACTAGGTCCTCCATCAGCAGCCATAAATACCAGACCAAGACAGAGACCTGAGGGGGGGGGTAGGGGAGAGAGAGGGAGAGGGTAAAAGGAGGCCTCACGAGGGGTATCTAAAAGGGAGGCCCAGGAACAGGTATCCAGAAATAAGGTATTAGGCTTGAGCGGTAGGACTGGGGTTACCCTGATAAAGAAACGAAGAAAGACTCAGTATATAAAATTATTCCAATTACGAATCTGCAGGTATATGGGTGTCTACTACACACCCAACTGAGAATAACACAAAAGAATTATATAAATTAAACAGCTTGGATTTAATTATTTCACATTGTATTCATAAATTGTAACATCATTTTGTACCCCATAAAATTTTTCCCCAAGCAACTCCCTCTTCACAGAACCCACAAATCTATAAAATTATAAACTGTCAATTTACAATTAAAAAAGAAAAAAATTAAACAGCCTGATGTTCAGGCCCTTTGCAGTCTGCTTGGGGAGAAGGACGAAACTGTACTAAACCATTAGAAGACAACCGAAATACAAAGTCTCTGGTCCCAAATGTAAATCCAACAGGAGGACATGGGAGGAAGACGTCACAGGAGGAAGCGTAATCAGAGTAGGCTTCTGGGAGCAAGGCTCACTCTGGGCTATAACAGTGGGGAGGACTGGGGCCCGTGTTGTGGCTCACACCTGTAATGCCAGCTCTTAGGGAGGCAGAGGAGGGAGGATAGCTTGAGCCCAGGAGTTTGAGACCTGCCTGGGCCATGTAGCGAGACTCCGTTCTCCACAAAAAGGAAAAAAAAAAAAAAAAAAAAAAAAAAAAAAAGAGTAGGGAGGATGGGGCCATGCAGAGGAGAAGGTGGAAGACACTGGCTAGGAGAAGAGAATAGCAATGTCTAAGTCCTTCTGGAAAAACAAAAACCCCCCATTACCATGTTCCAAACTGTGCTACACTGTCTGCCACAGAAGAGCTGTGTTAATGTGTCCTCCTGGAAGGCAGCCAAGGAATTCTGGGAAATGCCACAGGCAAAAGCCCACTTTTGGAGACCCACTGGATGCTGGCCTGTTAAAGGCTCTGAAAAGTCCTCCAGCAAAGACATCTATCCCACTGCTCCTCTCGGATTTCCCAGACATATTTGAGCCCTTCTTTGCAACATACCTGTACACATTCCAGAAAATTGCATTTTATGGAATATACTACCTTACATATATTTGAGAGTATTATATCTCTTTTTTTTCTCTCTTCCACTTTTTTTTATTGTACTTTAGATTCTGGGGTACATGTGCAGATCATGCAAGATTGTTGCATAGGTACATTCATAGCAAGGTGGTTTGCTGCCACCATCCCCCCATACCTGACATTTCTCCCCATGTTATTTCTCCCCCACCCTCCCTCCCACCGTCCCTCCTGTAGCCACTCCCAATGGGCCCCAGTGTGTGATGCTCCCTCTTTGTGTCCAAGTAGTCTCATTGTTCAACACCCATCTATGAGTGAGAACATGTGGTTTTTGATTTTCTGTTCCTGTTTATAATAGCAAAGACCTGGAACCAACCCAAATGATGATAGACTGGACAGGGAAAATGTGGCACATATACACCATGGAATACTATGCAGCCATAAAAAACGATGAGTTTGTGTCCTTTGTAGGGACATGGATGAATCTGGAAACCATCATTCTCAGCAAACTGACACTAGAACAGAAAACCAAACACCACATGTTCTTACTCATAGTTGGATGTTGAACAATGAGAACACATGGACACAGGGAGGGGAGCATCACACACTGGGGTCAGTGCAGGGGGACTAGGGGAGGGACAGCGCAGGGTAGGGAGTTGGGGAGGGGTAACATGGGGAGAAATGGCAGATACAGGTGATGGGGATGGAAGCAGCAAACCACATTGCCATGTATGTACCTAGGCAACAATCCTGCATGTTCTTCACATGTACCCGAGAACCTAAAGTGCAATAAAATATATATATTTATATATAAAGTGTATATTAAAAATATATTTTATTGCACTTTAGGTTCTGGGATACATGTGAAGATATATGTATTTTTTATATTTTTTATATAAATTTATATATAAATATTTTTTAAAAGAATTCAGAAATAGTAAATATTTAGGCACACTTACTGATCTTTGCAAAAGTGTTTTCTAAATACGCCTGAATATTCAGAGACGTCCAGGTCAGTGCAGCCAAGCCAGGTTGGAGAGCTTCATCCACTTTGGCCAAGTGAGGGATCATCAGTTGCTCAATGGCAGGAGGCATTTTTGACTTCACTCTCTGATATTCAGCTAGCATCATCTGCAATGAAATTGAGGTTAAGTAATCAATTAACATCTCACTTCTAATGTCTATTAGTATCTCATGTTTTATACAAAATGACTACTTTTATTTAGGGTCAATCTGTAGGTCTCTAACTGTTTGGCAGGTAGAGTAGCCAAAACAATAAAAAGAAAAGAAGACAAGGACTCTACATCATTACAAATTCCAAATCCAAAAACAACAACTGAAGATGAACAAGAATTTAAGAGTGCCTCAGCTCCTATGCAGCCTAAAAAGGGAAAAACCCTAAGATCAAGTAATTTTTCTAAACCATGCAGAGACACAGTAATGGCACATTTGCCTGTGCATCACCAGGCTCGTTTGTCCTGCTTTGTACACTGGTACAACATGCGTGCTGCTCCTCTGGGCACCTCTTGCAGACCACACTCATCACCCAAAACATCTTGGTCACCAGAGGTCTACGTCAGCCCTCTGCCAGGATTATGGGCCAAATCTTGTTGCCAAGACCCAAAGCACACAGGGAGCCACTACTGATTTCAACTAGTGTCATTGCTTTGAATTTCATCCATGTGACAGAAACAAACACATTCACATGCAGCCCAGATCTCACTCCTGAAAGTCTAGATTCATGAAGAGCAGCAGCCTTCCAAAGTTTCCACTTCAATACTTAACTTAATAAGTCCAAACTGGGACTTATTAAGTTTATTAATTCTCTAACTCATTCCAGTTCATTCCCTAACTCAGTTGACAGTGACTTTATCCTTCCAGTTCACAGGCCAAAACCCAGAGTCATCTTTGATTCCTCTTTCTCTTTCTCTCTTTCTCTCTCTCTCTCTCTCTCTCTCTCTCTCTCTCTCTCTCTCCCTCCCCACACACACACACACACATACACGTAATCCACTAGGATATCTTGTTTGCTGTCTACTCAAAAGAGACTCAAAAAGTCTATATCTGACTTGCTTTCCACATAAACAATTACTGCCATTGTTGGCTCCCACCTAAATTATTGGGATGGTCTACCATTATCTCCCTGCTTCAACTCACCCTCCCAATAAGTGTAGGTACAGTTTAACAGCAAAAATGATCCTTTCAAAATGAGAATTCAGATCATGTCACTCCTCTGCTCACATGGTTACGTAGCCTGCATTTAATTCAGGGCTACAAACCTTTACACAAAGGACTTGGATAGGTGCTTGGTCTAGAAAGATCTACCCAATTTTGTCCCATTACTTCTCTGCTCTCATCTCCAACCACTCTTTCCCTCTCTTACCTGCACCTGCCTGACTGTCTTTCTTTCTGGTCCTGAGACTCAGGGCCTTCATACCTTCAATTAATCACTCAAGTGCCACTTTCTCAGTTACACCCGTCCTCACTACCCTTTTAAGATTGTAAGCCACCACCAAAACCACTCACACATTTTATCCCCCCATTTTTCCATAATGACTATCATTTTATTACAATAGACTATATTAATTTACATATTTACAATGTTCATTTTCTGTCCTACCCAATTAGACTATAAGTTCTACGAGGACAAGAATTGTCTGCTTTGTTCTGTGAGCCTGAACCAGCACCTGGCACGTAGGAGATAATAAATCAATATCTATCTAATTAATCAATTAGTCGTTATCAGAAGGATAATTTTTCATCTGAAATGGGGATTCTCGTCTTTTATTGAAATGTACATAATGTTGAACTGTATCATTATTATTTACACAATGTCAAACTGTGTCAGTATTTTGTTCATATGTAACCATGTCAATATTAATAATCATTAATTATAAGAAAATAACTTTAATATGCCTCATAAATACAGTTGGTATGAAGACCTTATATGTGCATGTTGGTATTACCCTGATAATAGATTAATGTTTTCCAAACTGTTTTGCCTGGAGTACTAAGCCAAAGAGATTCTATGAGAAAAATGGTCCTTTGATAGATAAATTTTGAAAATGCTGCATACAATATCTCCCTTCTTGGATAGTCAAAGCTAATTTAGAGATTCTTAGAAGCCTGCTTAAGGAAGTAAGAAGCCTTGCAAGGCTTTGAAAATTTTGTTAAACCCAATATTTCTCAAATGGACCTCATAATCCTTTCCTCATATAATGGTTTTCCACAATTTCTATAATATTCCTTCAATGTCCATAAAAGCCACTTTGGAAAAGTCCAGGTTTTCTGGTTCTATTAGCAGCTACTTATACATTTTCTGAAGTTTGTATCCACTGCTTGCTTTTTTCAATGTCCACCAGTTATTCTAACTGGAAACAGTCTTAGAATCAGCTTCTAGCAGGCATTCTGCTTCCCACCTTTCATCCCAGAAGGTATGACTCAACTGCTTTAACAAAAGAGAAACCCAGGCTTAGAAGGTAAAACCACTTACCCAAAGATAATTATTTGAAGCCAGATTAAATTGGCTTCAGAACCTATATTTGTATCTATTAGCCTGTCTTGGTCTTCTCTTTCTAGTTCAGCTGTTTTCCAAGGAATAGATGAAGGAAACAAATTCCCAGCTACTTGGGCGTCGCTGCAGAAGCCTTAAAGTTCTGTCAAATATTCAGCACAATAACTGTAACAGTTTAGATGATGATGTTTTTAAAACATTCTTTGATCCTCCCTTCATGGGGTGGGGCCCATATCCCCCTTTTTTTTGAATTTGGGTAAGTTTACAGTCCAACAAAGTACAGCAGAGATGATGCTGTGAGACACCTGAAGCTATCATAAAGTCCATGCGGCTGTAGTGCTTGCTCTTGAAACCCTGAGTTGCTATATAAGAAATTCTAGTAGCCAGAGGCCTCCATACTGGAAGGCCATGTATAGGTGTGCCTGTTCACAGTCCCACCTGAGAGTGCCTTCCAGCCTTCCTCACAAAAGGAACAGACACAGATGAGGCCTTCCTAGACCTTCCAGGTCGAACATCTGCCAGCTGAACACCACTAAACAGCTTCTGTCAATAACACATGGAACAGAAGAATCACCGAGACAAGCCCCACCCAAGTCCTTTACCCATAAAGTCATGATATAATGATATGGTTATTTTAAACCCTACTAAAACAACAACTCTGCAAATAAAATTAAATTATCAGTAATTTGATCTTATAATTATAGTTTCTTAGTAAAAATGTGATTTTCTTTATGAACATGTAAATTGACTAAGTGAGTTTCCTAATGTGAGTCTAAAAGGGAATCCCAACATGCTGACTGGTATTTTAGAGTCTACATTTGAGGAATGTCTGTCCATTGCCAATGTAACTTTTTAATATGACATGAAGTAGTGGAAGACAGTGGACCACAAGTCTGGGTTCCGGTCTTCTCTTTCTAGTTCAACTGTTTTCCAAGGAACACATGAAGGAAAAAAACTCTCAGCTACTTTGATTTATCTGCAGAAGCCTGAAAGCTCTGTCAAATATTCAGAACAATAACTCTGTAACACATTAGATGACCCCCTAAACACTTTAGATGATCCCCTAAACCTGCCAATAGGTCTGCCTGACCAATAGGTTCTACTCACGTTGAGTAGGACTACTTCTGCCACTTTCTAGCTATGAAACCTTTGTTAAATCATTTATCGGGAGGTGCCAAGATGGCCAAACAAGAGGCAGCTCCGGAACGTAGCTCCCAGCGAAAAAGATGCAGGAGCCAATTGGTCTCCACAATTCCAAACGAGGTACCAGGTTTATTTTGTGGGTCTGGTTGGACAGTGGGTATAAACCAAATAGGGCAGGTTGAGGCAAGGCAGGGCACTGCGCCACCCAGGTGGTGCATACAGCTGACTGGAGGACTGGGAATCTCCCCCTCTGGGACTTCAGTTTGGATACACTGCTCCACTGAAGCCCTCTACAACCCACAGAGCAGGAGCTCTTTGCCGGGCTGGAAAGCCTCAGCGAGCTGCCTGGACAGGGCAGAACAGCAACTTTGGCTGGTGCCAGGGCTGTCAGCATAGATCTAGGTGGAAGCACTGGCTGATGCCGAGGAAGCCAAAAAGCCGGTGGGACGGAGCTACCCACCCCCCAGAAAGAAGGGGAACTGAACACAGGGAAACAGGCCATACGGCACGACAGGGCTCCCCCTACAAAGCCTAGCAGGGTAAAAAACTCTCACTTCAGAGTTTCATACCCAGAACATCAGTTAGAGAGTGACCAGGAATGAACAAGCTTGGCAGGGGGGAACAGCAGCCACCATTGCAGAACCTGCCCTAATTTTCCTGAGCAAATATAAGACGCAGGAAAAATATGCAGCAGCTCCATTGAATCCATGGCAGCCTAGCAGTGCCTCTGCAGGCAGACAAAAGAAAGGCGGCCTCCCCAAGCAGCTACCTGAGATCAAACCTATATAAATTCAAAAAGATGGGAAGAAATCAGTGCAACAAGGATGAAAACATCAAAAACCAGAACGCTTCTCCCCCACCAGGAGATCACAACTCCTCACCAGCAAGGGAACACAGCAGGATGGAGAACGAATTTGATGAACTGACAGAAGCAGGCTTCAGAAGGTGAGTAATAACAAACTTCTCTGAGTTAAAGGAACATATTCTAACCCAATGCAAAGAAACAAAAAACCTTGAAAAAAGGTTAGATGAAATGCTAAATAGAATAACCAGCTAAGAGAAGAACATAAACGACGTGATGAGCTGAAAAACACAGCACAAGAACTTCATGAAGCATACATAAGTTTCAATAGCTGAACAGATCAAGCATAAGAAGGGATATCGGAGATTGAAGATCAACTCAATGAAATAAAACAAGAAGGCAAGCAAAGAGAAAAAAAGTTGAAAAGAAATGAAGAAAGCCTCTAAGATATATGGGATTATGTGAAAAGACCTAATCTATGCTTGATCAGTGTACCAGAAGAAGATGGGGAGAATGAATCCAAGCTGGAAAACACTCTTCAGGACATTATGCAGGAGAACTTCCCCAGCCTAGCAAGGCAGGCCAACATTCAAATACAGGAAATACAGAGAACACCACAATGATATTCCTCTAAAAGAGCAACCACAAGGCACATAATCATCAGATTCACCA